CCATGATTTTTGCAATGTATTGCATGTAGATGTTTTCTTTGTCTTGGTATTGTTTGTGACGTCACTATGCTTGTTTATTTATGACGTCACTAAAATTGTTGACTATACAAATATTGATGACGTCATGTAACCAACGGTGATAAATAAACATCAATCCGCNACAATATCCAATGTAAATAAACATGACGGCAGCTGAAGTATCGCTAGGCATTGTGAGATTTGACAATGTCATTGTAAATTTATGTGCAAAATGAAAAATAAAATAAAAAATACTTTTATTACAACAAAAACAAGGCCAAGGTCTGCAATATCGTACAAAATGCACATCGGTTGAAATCACCAATGCCGGCAATGGAAACAATTTTAACGCTCATGCAATTTATCAAAAATATCGTCTGTTACACTGCACTGATCAACAGGGGTTCGTTACAAATGTCTGAAATACACATAGTTAATTGACCTACTTACACATATGTTACAGACCAGGGATGTGTAACCATTATTTAAGCACATCCCTGTACAGATCTACTGATATGAGTCACAGCACACATAAACAATTCAGACATGTGTAATGAACCCCTGTGCTCCGTTGCAAGATCATTCACTTCAAACGCTATCAGTTTCACGCGCCTCGCAGACACTGTTTCCTCAGTTTCTGACGACATGTCAAATAACTAGACTGTTATAGAATCTACAGACTGTAGTCAGATTCCCATACAATCAACAAATAAGTCCACGTCTGGATTCTTCACAAAATGAGCAAAGAGAAAAGTTCGAATTAACTTCGAAAATAACTCCCTCGTGGAGGGCAAGGTCGGATTTACGGTGTTCACTGTATTTATCCATGCGCTAAATTTGTTCCGGAGAAAAATCGAAACAAATTCGAATCTAACTTTCAGCTCAGAGTTCTATTAATAAACTAAAATCACCCTAGAGACATATCATACGCAATTGTATTTATACTGAATTGTGGAATAACATTGAAGTGTTTTTGCCAATCAGCACGCGATAAACACGCTTTTCAAACTATTGAACGAAATTTTGTGGACTGTCGATAAGGCGGGCATTTTAAATTTTCAATATAAATTATAAGTTGAAAAAGAACATGAGAGGCAGAGAAAACGTAAATATAAGTATTGAACTGTTTTTGTATGGTGTTTATGATCTATTTTAATGACACGCGCGCATTATGTTGTTTGCTTGCAAAGCTGTGTCATTCAAATAGATCATAAATACCATACAAAAACAGTTCAATGCTTAAATGAAATTTGTATTCATTTCGCTACGTTTTAGGTAACACTGATGTGAAATACAGTATTTAACTCTAGAGAAACACAGACGTGTTTCCTTATTTAACATCCGTACATAGATGTTACAATATTTCAGCAGATGCATGACGCATTGGGATAGCATGGATTTCATAACGAAAATAACAATACATCACTTTAAAATAAACAAGAGGCACATGGGCCTTAACGGTCACCAGACATCCGATTCAAATAAGGACTGTCATCCAGGGGCTAATTCATACTCTTCGTCGGTCCGAGTGACCTTACTGCATCGTCCATTAAGTTTTCCTTGTGAAAACAATACCTTCAGTAAATATGAACCGATTTCGATGAGTCTAAATACCAGACCAATTTGACCATAACTTACATAGTTATTCCCCTTGGTAATTCTATTATTGTTGGACCCTGTGAACAAGATAACTGAACGAAATGGGTGTGACTCCAATTTTGACCCAAGGGGTCTGTTTTGAACAAACTTGGTAACTTTATGTCTTCTGTTCTTGGTTAAAAGAAAAAAGTAAAAGCGTAATCAATGATTTATTAAATAAGGCACAAAATTTTAATAGCACCTTGTTAGTAGCAAAAATGCGTCATGAATGAAAAAAAGGTGTTCCACATCTATTCTTGTGTAATGTCAATCAACATCACAGGGACAAATAATAATATAATGACAAAGGGCGATAACTCTGCAGGTAACCGTCAAATAATTACCGGACAAAGTTTCATTGAACTCCGTCAACATTTATTTCAAGTTATCGTGTTTACAAGGTCCAATAATAATAGTATTACAAAGGACAATAACTACTGTTAAATAATTTCCCAGTCTCAGACTCATTCGAGATCCTATTGATATAGGGCCGCATACAAAGTTTCATCAAACTTGGTTGATAATTACTTAAGTTATCATGTTCACAAGGTCCAATAATAATATTATTACAAAGGGCAATAACTCTGTAAGCTACTGTCGAATAATTCCCATTCAGAGTCCGGGATCTTTTTGATATATGGCTGCATACAAAGTTTCATCAAAGTCGGTTAACATTTACTGAAGTTATCGTGTTCACAAGGAAAAGTTAACGCACGACGGACGACGGACGACGACGGACAAAAGGCTATCACAACAGGTTACCATGATCTATTGTCAGGTAACCTAAAAACCGATTCGAGTACATTTCATTTGCTGTCGTTTTATATTTCCTGATAATATATAAATATTATGTACTGTTTTAGATTAAGTGTACAACAAGATGTCGAAAATAGTTATACAAAAATACAAAATATAAAATATTTTTTTAATATCTTTTAAAATGAAAATTGATCGCTTTACATACAGTTGTGGGATCGCACAACGTTACACGATGTGCGGTGTGCGCACAATGTGTGCACGGTGTGTGAACGATAAAAAATTGGACGATCATTGCTTGCGCACATTTGTGCGGACGATCGACGAACGTTGTGCGATAACAATCGTGGTTGGTGTAAACTGAGGAATGGCTTAACAATATATACGGTTTCGTGTTAAAACTTATAAACTTGATTTTTAGTATGTTTCTATATTCAAGCTACATTTATAAGCTTATCTTTGTGTCTATACTTTCTAAAATTTAGAAATGGTGTTTTCGGTGTTTTTTAAACGACCTTAATCGACACATGTAACATTACAACACAGTCTCGGCAACACAGGTAAACATAGCCACTTTGTATCTGGACCGTAGTTTTCCCCCACCAGGGGCACTTACGTAACTCGCCAAGGTGTGAAAACAAGGTGAAGGAGATCCGGAGCTATAGACCAAAACAAATGCAAATTACAAATATTAATCGTCCAGTTGTGTTTTCATAACGGTCATACGGTATCACATATCAGCTCTATGTGCCAGGCAAAGGCCAGGTAAAACTCTGGTCACTCATCAAATTGTTATTTACTTGTTCTGTTACCGAGGAGTCAAACTCATTCTTGACAGTCCAACGGTCACTCTATACTGTGTTACACGCATTGTAAAATGTACATACTCAAAATTATAGTGATGAGAGAATTACAGTAATATATAGTGTACATCATTGCATATGCGCTTTCCGTATGTTTTTCCTTCCGTAATATTGATCAACAAATTCAACTGAATCGCACAGCTGTCCGGAGAGAAGCGCACAACGTTAACGGGGTGACGATTGTTAAATCGCACAGTTGTGCGCAACATATGTCTGGACAATGTGCGGACGGTGTGTGCACGATGTATACACGGTGTGCGCACGGTATTTTTGGTGCGTTGTGCGGTCACACAAATGTATATCGAAATTTAACCAAAACATATCTTTCTAGTTGTAATTTGAGACATACCTCAACTGACATCTTCCAACAAAACTTACTTCAACACTAACGTTTTTGTATGACACGATTCGTCAAAATTTAACATCTTCAACTGTATTTAGAAATAAGCAATATATTTATCATTGATATTTTGTTATGAACAAACGCAAAATCATAAATAACCGTTGTTCTCTTTCAACCCTACTAATCACCATTTCAGCAATGATCATGTACTGAGTGACTGCAATGTTGTTATAATGATTTGGGGGCGACTTCAGTTTGTTAAAAATAATGCACCCTGCCTATCAACTTATGTTCCCTTTACTATCATTAAATATACACGCCGGTTTCGTGCGTGAGGTTATCCACAATTTACGCAAAAAAGGCGGGTTCTTCATCTTGATTACATATACAGCTTACCTAAATTCCATGTAAGACATGCAGGTTTTTTTTAGTCAATACTTTCTTTCATTGAGTAATTAATACATTGTTGGCGATACTTAATTGATCTCATCTGAGAGGGCTGGACTGGAATATCCAGTTACCTTACAAAAGAAAATGCTACAACATTGTACAAGAGTCAGTCAGTTCCACTTATTCCTGTTCTTTTTCTTTTTCAGTATTGTATTGTTTGAAAGGTTCTAACAAATTTCACTCTCGTGATCTTGATAGTCCTTACTTACAGCATACAGATATCATAATGCTGAGCGTACTCTAGGCTATTCAGAAGGAGTCGGTTGAAGGTTGAATTTTCTGACACCCGTGACTTTGAAAGTGGATCATGCTTATGTATTGAAACACACTTGATAACCCTTCACACCAGCATAATACGCCCAAACTATTATCAATCTTGACCTTTAACTTATTAAGAAGTCTTTAGAATGATTTAACGCATTTTACCTCTGTCATCTTAAGAGTAGAACATGGTGATTTGAACAAACATGAGATCCCATTCGTCCAAGCATGCAGCAGGCAAATCGTCCCTCTAGACATGTTGGCTATGCAGAGGTTGTTCAGAGGTTTTAACAAATTTTAGACCTCTTGATCTGGGTTTTGGGCGAGGTGATCTTAACAATTTTAGATGATCATTTGTCCCGAGGTTAACACATAGTACAAACAAGTTATAGCAAAATAGGAAAAAATGAGTAGCGTTACATGAATAAGATACCAAAATGTTTACATCAGTACAAGTTTACAGCCAAAAGTAAACAATACCAAGGCAATGAAGAAAGGGCCGCAACTCTGCAAGTAAGTGCAAACATAACCTCTTCCATCCTTACATGTTTATACCCATGACGGTAGACTGACTGAAAACGGTCTTCTGGCAAAACAAATCAAATATCGAGCTCTTAATTCGAATTTAGACATGAACATCCAATCTCTCAAATAAAATAGTACACACTTTGAAAAATACACATTTTAATAAATACATTTCATAAACAGCACATATTGCATATCTACATGAGAGTCAGCAGTTATGTTTTATATGTATAGTTATAATCGTTACAGTACATGATCTATGCATATTGCCATGCGAAACACTTGTAACCGGAAAAGCAGCCTTCTCCCTGAACAAAAATACAAATTGAGAGACCTAAATGAAGTACATAAGTGTGAAAATGTCCTTCGTATAAGTCTACAGTTGTGAGTGTATTACATGATAAAATGTACCCTTGTGTACAATCAAATTACGCCAGGATAGTGATATACATTTGTGTCTATCTAACGTCAATGTCAACAGTGTGCAGATACTTCCGGCTGACGTTCAAACGTTATTTGATTCGTATTCCATTGCACAAAACAGAATGTACATCAAAATGACACGTACGTTACCACACTAAAACTGCCTTTCTTGGAACAAAAATAAAAACGTTTTATATTTTGCAAACAATAGAGCTCTCGTTTGAATGAAAATATGCCTTCATTGTGTTACATTTAATTTCAGCTATACAAATGATTTATTAATTCGTATGTTGCAGTGGAAATGATGAAACACACAATGTAATGTACAACTTTAAAAACTTTGCAAAACAAAGTAACCCTAACATACATGGCAGAGGTGCATTGTTTCTAGCTGAAATCACGCACGACTCGATTCAATGTCTATGATATAAATGAAAATAAAGACTTTTAAGTGTACCCTGAACGAAATATAAATGATTGTACCATTATTCACTTGTGACTTCACATATGTGATCGCCGCTGAGACAGCGGTGTGTTGTTTCAGGGAAAAGAACGCAATATCTCGTAAACAAAGGCTACACTGTATAACGACATTCGCTTTTTAGCCGTGTCTTGTAAAATATGACATATTGTCTGAACGTAATAAAGCAAATCATTCAGGGTACACTTTAATCGCTGCCCATTTTTTTCTGCAATACTTTGCAAATAATTCATTGATGACAGCAAATTGTATAAAAAATCTTCAAACCTGTCATCATTAGAGGAAAAGGTGCATAATTCCTTTATAACACTTATTAAACAAAATGGATTGCTATTAATCATGTGTATTTGTAAGTCTCAGAGCAAAATGTTGTTTCTATAATTAGTGTGAAGACAAACGTTCATTTTAAAATTTCCAGATTTAAAAATGTTGCATTAACAGATGTACAGGAAGTCGTATCAATCTCTGTCTGCACTATTGTTTTGTCGCGTTGAAACTGGTCTTAATACAATGTCTTTGATAAAACAATGACATCTTATGTTTTTATCATATTCTATCTTACGTGTTTGCAATAAATCGTTCACATAGTAAATAAAATGGTTTATCTTTCATCATATTTCACGGGGTAAATTATTTCAGAACATCTGACTCCAGATGACTATTAAATACGTATACATGCCACAACTAACATAGACATTTACTGTATTGGTATCGTATTAGACAAATACAGCGATGTCTATGTCGAAATATATTTACAAACTGAAGGGGTCGTTTAACGGTTAAACCTGCCAAAAAGTATCTGTTCATGATCCTCACACCCCTACACTTAATATGAAACGGCACTGACAAGTCTATTACAGCATTTTACCAACATGCTTCGTGCCTGTATCAGTCTGATTTCAGCGTGCATTCATGACATCGACCTGTTGAGTGTATTGCTGCATTATTTTGAAAATAGGCTGAGCTGTATCAGAGGGATCACTTGTAGAGTCGTCAAATCAGCGAGGACTGCCTGTTAACAGAAAATGCATTAAAAGAATGTTATTATTTATATGAATATACTGTAGTACATGTAGCAGGTTAGGTGGTTCCTTACTAAACATTTCTATCGAATATTTAAGGGGATTTTAGCTTGAAGTAGTGGTCTAATTTGCACTACAGTAGCTCTTGAATTTTCCTGATATTTAAAATTGTATTTAAATGCAAAACATCTCTTACATAGTGCAAATATGGGCGGGGGATAATCTTCTTTAACAATATTAATAATAATATACAACATTTGATATAGCGCCCTATCTAGCTAACATACATGTAAGCCACTCTTAAGCGCTTTACAGTACTTAGCTATACAATTAATACAATTAGCATATACATTATATTAATGCAATTTTGAGAAATTCGCAGGAGCTGCCTTATCAGGCGCTAACTTCTAGTTCTGTCACCAGGCTAATATCGCCATATGTGTGTTTGCCTGCGTGTGTGCAGGAGATGTATTGTGTTCTGTTTGTAGTGGGACCGTGCTTCCAACGGTATCATTTATAGTACCACCTCACTCGAGAACCCTGTCACTTCGGGGAAAGAACCCTGGCCGCCTTTGTGGAAGGCCAGAGTGTAAACCACTCGACCATTCCGCCCATTTATAGTCAATCGTCAAAAGAACGATGCTATTCGACCTCGTACATGCACTTATCAATTCACTATGACACTGAACGATTTTTTTTCAATAACTCCTTAGTTTCAACGCGTTCTAAATGAATGTAATTCCTAAATTTTAAAATCTGACCTAAACAGACAGTCGTAAAAACTGTCAAAATCCCCTATTGTGGCATTGATCTGTCGATAGTATGTACACGTTTCTCCTGACAATCACACAAATAGATTCTCGGTTATTCTATAAGAATTGATCAAACAGTACAGTATCACAAAATATTGCTATTTTCAACTAGAAATATGAACCAAAATCAAAGTCGACACAATGAATTAAACAACAAAAGCCAAGGATACCACAACAAAGGGAAAGTCGTACATTACATTTGCAATCATGTTATCACAACAATCGTTTCCGTTTATGCAATCTCTCCTGTATAAATTTCCAAAGATCACTAGGAATTAAGGACGAATGCATTCAGTGTGCGAACAAGATTCAACCGATATCTTGTACCGCCTTTGTGTGACTGTCTCGTCAGTTACACATGTCTGACGCAGAACTTATTCGGGCTATCTGAAAATTCGTAATTTTTTCAGGTTTTAGGTTGTCATAGCGGCCGACTCAGTTGGCGTGGGAAAGAACACGAAATGCCACTGCATCAGATGGTCACAACAGGAAATAGACGCATGCCATCCAATATCAACACATGAGTTTAACATCGATATGTTTAATATAAGATGCCTGCATAGGGTAACTTATAAAAATAGCATATATAAAGATTTCCAGTAGCATCCACTTATATTTGTGTATTCCCTATGCTAAAAATCCAAACTAAGAAAAACATGCTTTTCAAGTTCAAAGGAAACATTAATGTGCTTGCGTATTCGCGAAATAAAACCCCAAACAATACTGTTAAGTAAGGTTTAGTGTAGCCTCACAAACCACCTTTTAAGTATCGGTGTTTTTCTTAAATTCTACGGCCATGAATATTGGCGATGATAACATATTTGGAATGATCACATAGCCGATCAAGCCGATTAGATAAAGACTCGAGGTGTATTAGTTCTAGTATCATGACTCAAATCCTTGTGATTATTGCGGTGACCATGGAAGCTATGGACACATTGGCAATTAAAACTGGCAATGCCAGTTAGTTGACTACCAGAAACAACCATTTACTTTAGCAAAGTGAAATATACAATACCATGACCTCAGTCCTCGAAAATAGGTTGACAATCGATTGAAACTTTAACATGCTTTAGCTCTTTAAACTTGAAAGGTTTGTCTAGATAATTTGTTGGAAAACAATATCAAAATACTCAATGACAGTAGTCTACAGGAAAACACATAAAGGTTTTTAAGTAATTTATATCAGAATCAGCCGTTTGAAGTATTATACATATATATATTATATTTAACTTATGTAACCTTCTCACTTCTGTGATTTTGAATGAAGTTCGTGGCTGACAACTAAAAAAAGCTTATACTTATCTATCATAGTATGTAACAGACTATCATGAGGTGTTTACCTCATAGTATTAACGTAAAACGTCATGGACTGGAACACAATAATAGCGAAAGATTCAAGACCAAAGGAAAACGGACACTGCAGTCATCACATGAGCTCATGCATTCATATCATGCCAGCTGGGTGAAATATAAGAATAACCTACTGAACATCTTAAATAAAGGAGTTAAATTCCATTCTTTAATATTTTTTTCTCGTTACTTAACATAGATTTCTAAATACGAAAGTGTCTTTACTAAATTAAAAAAATGTCTGAGATATTAGAGCGTATATTAACGGTAGGCGGACATTAACAGCAGCAGACAGATATAATCTCAGGCGGCAATATATAGGACAATACGCGGTCCTCTCGAGGAAAGCACATTCATGGGATTGATTCAACCCTTCATTGCGTAATTAAAGATACTGTCAGAACGTACATAAACCATACTACAGGAATCAAGTTTGTGTATACACATCAGCATCATTCAACAGCTCAAGTGAAACAAAAGTGTTGATTTAATTAAAGATTGCGAGTGAAGAAAAATCTTATGCCTTCTTAGATTGAAATGTTTTCTGCTATATAATTTACAGCATCAACATGCAGTGTTTGAGAGACCTGAATGACTGTCAATCTTTGAAACAGACTTCATTTAATCTATCCTAGCCTACCAACTGATAATAGGGCATACAGAAGCATTTCTTCAGGCATCCACGGTAAGAGAAATGGGAAATGGTATCAATATGAATCACTGAGACATCTCGGTCGAAGGAATGGAATTTCGCATTCCCACGCCAGCCAAGAAAAAAGATTAAGAAAGAAAATTAAGTAATTTTCGAATCGAAATCACTGCAACCAAATGATCTTCACATGTAAGATAATTCAGTACGAGTTTTAATTTACATGACTAATAGGAGAGTAAAAAAGCAGGAACAACACAGGATGTTGTTAGCTATCGCTGGCAGAATCAGACAGGCTGGTATTAGGCAGGGCTATTAACGGGAAAACACAACACCTCAATGACAAATGAAATAATGTATATTGTCCTTTAATTACGCCTGAAGCTATTACACAGTATTCATTAGAATAGTTACCGTAATGTATATCATTTGAGTCTATACTTGAGAAAATGTGAAGAACTTTCAAGGAATTGATTGATCGTAGTTTTAACATAGAGTTTAATAGAAAAAATTGACAAAAACACCCCATTTTTGGTGTTAACATGGTAATTATAAAACCAAGTAAGTAGGTCTCTTCCAAATAAGGTTTGACTGCCGATTTATAGTCACTACTTCCCATGATGCTTGAAACGCAGGGAGCCTGGTAATGAAGTCAAAAACAAAACAAACCTGTTTCTATTTGACAGCAAACACTTAGGTAAAATATGTTTATATATGTACACGTATATTAACAAAGCAAAAAAAATATGTTTCTTTCATCATCATATATGCAGCAATTAAATAACTACGATTGGACTCTCAAACATCTCTAGCAACGGTTTGTCGATATGCACTACAATTTCTACCCACTTAAGATCATACAAATATAACATAGCTGAAAGGACGCTAGGGATGTCGCAGATACACACAATCAGATTTGTTTTCATTCAGTAGGACATCGTGAATGCACAACAAATGATAAATTATATAGAACGTAGAGTACAAAAATATCAATTCTATATTTTCCTCTCATTACCACAGGATGTGAATCGAAGCATTAGATTTAACTTGAAGGAGAACAAGTTGCAGTACTTGTCACTCATTTTCAGTAATCAATAGCTAACGAAGCACACAATATAGCCAACTTCCGGCGTAAAATCTAACCTAAGATATCAATACAACAAGAAATAATGCAACTTCAAAGAATATCGAAATGAACGCAATCCAGGGAGGCTTTGTCTGCTCAGTTTCACCTGGTGTGTAAACGGATGAATTTTAGAATACCAATTACATAATAACAGTCAATTATGACAACTGAAACAACGTAGACGACGAAACTTTCAACGAATAGTTTGCTTTAAATACAGTTGTATAATTGCTGTTATAGATGATGGACACATCGTAATTGATAATTTCAAGGTGAAGATGAAATAGAAAGGACCTGAATAAAGCTATCCAACGGCTACGTGTAGACTATATGAATAATAATCTGATCGAACTGATTATTTTGAGAGAGAGAAAAATGATTACCTGCAAATTTGACATACTTAAAATTCTTTTGATGCATTATTGTATCTAAATGTATGAAAAATCGAAATGTTAAAAAATATTCCTAGAATGTGCTGAAAGGAGAAAACATGCTTAACCAACCTAAGCTGAAATAAATATACATTTCATATATCCTTCATGACCTTTAAAAAACTGAATTGCAATTGCCTTCTCCTGTAAAAGTTTCAAACCATGAACACAGAAATTTTCATACAACATTAAAACCAAAGATATGTTCTATCGTTTATTAATTACTCGCAGATAGTAAATCCTATAATATTTGACAAAGATATTGTGCGTAAACCGTTACCAATCAGATAAAAGGATGCTAAAAAAACAATGCGCAGGGTTTGCTCATCTTTTAAATTAGTCATCATTGTCATTGAATAATTTAAATATTGACCAAGCTCTATCAGATTTTGTTTAAGTTTGACCTAAGCCTCAGTTTTCATATAATGTGCATGCATAGCAAGTGCCATCAAAATCAAATGTTATTACAGAAACCAAAATGTGGACAGACGGAAGCTCCCCATACCATAAAACGACCCGTCAAAATAAAACTAAAGAACACCTAAACATAACTGACATAGGAAAATAACACCATCACTAGAACAAAACAAGAAAAAAAAAGGTAAATATCATAGAGACACCAGGAACAAGGCATATATCATGACCAGCATGACCATTATGGAGGCACGGTAGCCTAGCAGTAGGACACCGGGCTCGTGACCGAATGGTTGTGGGTTCGAGTCACATCACGGCACTGTTTATCTTTGAGCAATATACTTTGCTCCGCTTTTCCAGTCTACACAGCTGTAAAAGAGTACGTGGTTGGGAAGTGATAGAATTGTTGAATGCTAGCTGTGAGCGCCGAAATGACACCTGCTGTATGCTCCCAAGGGAGTTGAGAAAGATATAGGCTGCCTGAAAAGGCCTTGGCCTATAGCCGCTTTGTAAACCGCTTTTAGACGACCAACGAGCTAGGTTGTGATAAAGCGGTATATAAAAACATCGATTTGGTTTAATTTTGTTTAACGTCCCATTAACAGCTTAGGTCATTTAAGGACGTGAATAAAAACCTCGAATTATTATTATCATAACGCCTCGTGTCAAATCAAGGATAGCATGTCAGTCACAAACAATAGAAAATATTGTGGAAATAACGTTTATTATGGTGAAAACAACTTTTACTTTTGCATCCATCCCATGATTGCAGACTCCTCCCGTCATAAGTGCACATCTTTAGTTAATATCAGGTTTAGTTAAAATATGTCGAGCCGCACTTAATGAGAAGTTTTCCAAACATTTTAAAGATATCTTTTTCTTTTATTGGGTCGGTCCCTCAATTTTCTTTTGAGATTCACCCTTCAGTTTTGATGAGCAGTCGTTTAAATTATAACTGACATAAAAACAAAGGACCATTCATCATTACCATGTTCATTGCAAATTGTGTATTATAGGGAGATATTGTAAATTAGATGTAAATCTAAATATGTAACCCTGTCTAAATAAAAATTATTATTATTATTATTATTATTTTAAAAACTCACCTCAGCAGCATTGTATGACTGAACCTTCATCAGATTTGTTTTCCGGAAAGAAAATATCGCCACAGCAAGAACTGCAAGACAACACTCATGTATACATGAACAATTCAGAAATATATTTTAAATTAATTAAAGTCAACTGGTTATTTATTTTCTCTGATAAAGCATGTACTTTGAAATCTAATATTATTTAATGGAATAGTAGTTCGATAACATATTATTACAATGTATGCTTTATCAACATGTGATCTTATTAAACTTTACTAACCAGCCAATATTTCCAGAGAAGAATGTGCCAGTATTCGGTCCCATAGCAGTAACACTTGGTCGCTAGACAGGTAGCCAGAAAAGGCTCGAACAAGCCACTTAAAAGAAATCTTCAATCTGAAATTAAATAAAAACCTTAATTTGACAAAGAGAGCCAATTCAATATAATTTCTTCAAGAGTTTTCTTTTTTTCTCTCTTGACAGTACCAAAGATAGTTTTCTAGAGAAAGTCAATGTTTTAATTATCGTAATATTTTAGTTATATAATTTGATAGATCTTCACGGGTACGTACGGATGACATCCAACTGTCTTCAGATGGAAGTAAAGTTCAGGCTCGTGGATTTGAAGTAGAGATTCGAACAGCAGACTGATTGCTAATATCCCCTAGTTAAATAGAAACAATAGTTTTCAGTATAACAATTGCACATTCCTCTTGAATGATTACCCGAATAAAGAATTCATATAATCTATAATACATTGTCATATGAGATCAAATATATTATCAGACTGAAGTTATGATAAAATACAACAAGAGTACTGCGGGGCGGAACAATATACGCCCGTCGAATGTGTTATACACTTTTTTCACATTGAAATAAGATCTATCTGCATCATTCTAAGAGTGGTTAGCTGACATGCTATAAAAAATGTAGGAGAAATTCTCCGGACAAAAAATCAAAAACTGAAATGAACAAAGGGCGATAACTTTTGCAAAAAATCGTCGAATCAAAATTTTGTTAAAGGCGACGCAACTCCATATCATGATTATGATGTATATCAAGTTTCAAAGAGATCGGTTGAAAAATGTAGGAGAAGATTGCCGGGCAAACAAAAGTTTACGCCGGACGGACGGACAACCCCATTCCATAATACTCCCGTCAAATTTGACGGGCGTATAAAAAAACACAATTGCGTCATTTAGCACTGATTTTACTTTATAATCCAAGAATCTGCGTCAAGTACAATAGTATTATATTTCTCTGGAAATGTTATGCCCTATAGATAAATAAGTGCATATCAGAATATTACAGAATTCTTTAATCTTAAGACGTTTTACCTGGGGATGAGATGAGATACTGTGTAAACGAAAGAAGTATCTGCAGTACAGCTCTTTGAAGACGTAGTAAAGGCAAACCGGCTCGTTGAATACGTAGCAGAGAGGTGCAACTGAAACAAAATAATTTAACTTCAAATCGAATATTCCGAAAAAAATATCAAAGTGCTTTCAGTAGAAAGCATTTCATTTCAACAGTTTCAACGAAAAAAGATACTTGCTATCGTGATTGAAATTTAATTGATTATAACACCAGTATCTATTGAACGAGTTTTTTTTATCAGAAACATTGAAGATGTAAATGGCATTAAAGCCACTGCATTTTTTTGTTTAAAACATAACAATTAAACATGGTATAGCAATCCATCAAACATCATGATTTCCCCCGTCCCTCCCTGCTACATTTGTATTGCGACACGAGTTTATTTTCTCTATTTTGTTACCTCTTCACATCAAATCTCCGTTTACGATTGCTTCAAATGATGTCATAAAGAATAAAAAAAGCCACGAACATGTCTACCTAAAGCCAAGAATTTACACTTCTTCGTATAACATGTCTGTCAACATCCTCAACACATTTCTTATCTTGCTAATGTTGATATGAGGCTTTCTTGATTTCATTAAATAATTTTATAATATGAACAATATTATAAATCGAAAACCTTTGTTGTTTTGTGCTTTACCCTCTGGATACAAGAAACAGCTTGGCCATCAATATATTACCAGCGTGAGTATGCTAGTGTAACTAGTCTGCGAGAAATCACTAATATTTTACAATTCGTTATTGATCAAGCGAAGCAAATGAAGTCAAATGACAAAACGCTAACGTCGTGTCCATTGTACCGGATATATATATATATAGATACGTCACTAGTTTTGTCCGTTATATGTTTTGTAATTTGATGTGATTCTTCATGACGTATGTCTGTCAATTAGGGAGGCCTAATCACTTTAATGGTCGCTTAATGTTCTCTCGTCTCACACTTGACCTATTTGGATATTCTGATAATTTGATTTGATATTATATCGGGCATAATATACCAATCTCCGTGCTACATTGACATCCTGCCATGCTTGCACGTAAGTGAAATTGTTGTTCAAGATATCTAGTCATTGATCATGATTTCACGTTTTTGATCGTTACAAGATATAATTAGTGTAGGGAGACACTATTACTCAATTATCTGAAACGTCATTTGCTTTGATGTTTGAAATCAATCTAAAATAAATACCGTTATGTAATGCTGTATTACACATTCAGAAAAAAAACTATAGAAAAACATGTTGATTATAACCCACTAAATGTTTTAGTTTTTTTGTTCAATTCCTATCAAACAAAATCTTCAAAGACACAGATAATTTAAATGCATAATAACTGTTTTCTTCCTATTCCAAAAAACATAACACCTACAAGAATACATTACTCAGTCAACTACAACTTTCAAATTTCAAGCCCGCGCATAGTTGCTAATTATCCCACAATCTATTGGTAAACCATTTTTTTTTAAACAAAATCGCTAAACTGAGGTTTCGGTGAAATTCTCACTGGAAAGTCATCGAGCTCTTTTGATCATTGTGCAATTAAAAGAGATTTGCATCGTTCGTAACCACAAATTGCAAATGTATTGAATACATCTTTCAAAGTGAACAAAAAAGTATTCCGAAGACATGCACAATGAAAATGTCCAATACATGCACACTGACATTTTTGTTTTCAAATGTGGAATTGATGAGAATTCGGAAATAAAAACATATTTTGCTCAAGTCCGAACTTAGTAACAGTCTTTGTATAATGAACAGTCATACCAAGTTCACCAAAATAAAACTATATTTAAGCAAGTGACGACGAACCGACGGATGGACGTTCCATATACCATAGTATGTCCCGTCAAAATTTTTGACAAAAGTAAAGATAGGTAAGACTTAATTAAATTCTGATACAATAGATGATATCGCGACCAGTGGAACTCTTCAAATAGGAGGTGATTTAACTGTACTCGCTCGGGCAACGGATATATAAACAACATAGTAGTGCCAAATCATTCAGATACGAATTTCCACAAACTTCCATGTAATGAATTGGGTAATATTTTAAAGTCCAAAGGTATCTCCTACTCCAAATAAGAAAAAGGGGGAGCTAGTACACCTATGAAAGCAAGCAGACATGTTAAATTGGCCAGATATTGAAAAAGAGGACGAAGTGTTGTGTGTTACCTTTATGTAAATTAAACGTCAGAAGGCTTGTTTTGGATAAACAATTTGATTGGAATGTCATTGATAAATGCATTTGATGTGACCTTTATTCTTGTGAGTTATTTTTGTTGGTTCAATACAGTGAAGGTGGGGCATATTGTTTACACACTCGCATTCTCTCGCGAGACTTGTGCATTTTCCAGCAATAACTCTTCGAAGAGGAGTAACTCGTGGTTGGTCGCGATAACAAGTATTCCCATGATGTTCAACAACAGCGATCATTGCTTTGATGATTAACTATTATTTGATTATCTATGCAGCATACAATAAATCTGATATAAGTTAACTTAAAACAAAACATTTTAACCTCCGTTGGTTCTAATACCATTTAACAAAGTGCTCTCTCAATGTCTAAATACTCATGCATTTTCATGAAACGCTAAAACCAACCAATAATGATTATGAAAATGAAACCTATTTCACATTTCTTTTTTTTTTGCTACAAGAAATGTTAATAGTTCACCACAAGATTTGACAACTCATACAGAAATGAATTTGCAGGATAATGAAAATGAATTAATGATGAACCTTATATTCTGGACATGTTCAGTGTGAAACAATCACATGAATCTCTGTCACTTTTACGGATGTAGAGCCGCTGAATATCATCCATATTCATGACATCGTTTGATATACGTGTTCAATTACGTACTTACCAACTGTCAAACTGATCAGATGCATCATTTCTGTAGACGCCATTCAAAAATGGATCCAGAAAATGATCAATAATAGCTCTATAAGTATCCGCACTCGTTTGATATCATTTTATCCCATTATCTGTCCGCGATCAGACGGACAGGAAATAAACAATGGCCATTAAAGGCTAACAGGCTACTTCCGTGGCTTTTTACCCGCCATTATACCATGACATTACATAATGAAATAACTCTTATATAGCCTCCCAGAGTGTTTGTACTGGACACAAAACGGTAGTAGCGCTAATAGGTTACAATCCATCAACATTTATCAAGATTACCTTTCAATGGAAAAGCTATACCAGAGGAAATGAAAAGTATTGCGGTCACAGCCGTGTTCAGAGTTGTTTCTATGATATAGACTTGACAGTGTAAAAAAGGAATGAACTATCAGTGCCAGAAACAACACAATATGATTGAAATTTAATCTATATTTGGTCCCAATGAAACCTAGTCTTACTTTGTTTGTCCACCTCTCATTAACACTGATGAGATCCATGATTCGACTCACCGGCTAAAACGCCGACAACGTTCCGAATGCAAATAAATGAGAATCAAAGACAATGTTTTCACTTCAGCCATATCTAAATAAGAGAGTTTATGCAAATGATGCAACATGAACGAAATTATTCCTCCTTATCAAAAATCGCATTGAAGATATTGTTAGCAAAAATCAGCTACCTAAAAACATATCGTAATTATTATTGGGTATATCTTAACATGGTACTGCCTTTACATAACCTTGTTAGGATTGCCAAAATATTGTACGTATATTACAAATGTAAAACTCGACATTTTTATATGCTAACCTTTCCAGTTTTAAGGCCATTCACAAGACAGCAAAAGGTGTTTGCTTAGAAAAATTGTAAAGAAACCGATCGATCAACAAACTCCGCTTATTTGCCTACAATGTTGCGCTTAGACATCCTGTTCCTAGAACAAAGGCATACGTCGGCGATGCAGTGCAATAAACGATATAACAGACATAAGTCGGAGATGCAGTGCAATAAACGATATAGCAGACATACGTCGGCGATGCAGTGCAATACACGATATAACAGACATACGTCGGCGATGTAGTGCAATAATCGATATAACAGACATACGTCGGCGATGCAGTGCAATAACGATATAACAGACAAACGTCGGCGATGTAGTGCAATACACGATATAACAGACATACGTCGGCGATGCAGTGCAATGAACGATAAAACAGACATACGTCGGCGATGCAGTGCAATAAACGATTTAGCAGATTTACGTCGTCAATACAGTCCAATAAACGATATAACAGACATACGTCGGCGATGCAGTGCAATACACGATATAACAGACATACGTCGACGATGCAGTGCAATGGACGATAAAACAGACATACGTCGGCGATGCTGAACAATAAACGATATAACAGACATACGTCGTCAATGCAGTACATTAAACGATATCAGACATACGTCGGCGATGCAGTGTTAAAACGATTAAACAGATTTGCGTCGGCGATGCAATGCTATAAACGATATAACAGACACACATCGGCGATCAAGTGCAATACACGATATTACCGACATACGTCGTCGATGCATTGCAATAAACGATAAAACCAATATACGTCGGCGATGCAGTGGAATAAATGAAATGTAAACGCGGTCAGCTTTACGAACACTCAAAAACGATAAATATATTGGAAGTACTTTTAAATAAAACTTCGGTTAAGGGTTGTAAATGTAGCTGTAGGAGTGTTGCATATCAAGTTGTAAACAGTTTATATAGGACAATGTTGTTCGTTTGTAAAACATCGTAATGTGATACTCTTCAGTTTTATAACATCGGAGATAGAAAGACGTTCTACCTCCTGACTGTTGTTGATGATGTTAATCTTAATTTCTACATGAGAGTTATCTCTTGTTTTCATTTGAAAAGTCAGATAAACAAGACAGGGCCTCTAGAGACAACGATGCTGAGATTTGCTTAAGTTTTATAACAACAATTTACAGATTGCTTACATACTGGTGAATTCGGTATTTGCTTAAATACTAAATATAGATTTAACTCTTAGCGTCGGCTTCACTAATACCCCCGCTCCCCGCATATATAAACAGTTTGTAACCCATTAATTAAAAAATAGTGACCCAGATATGCTGTAGAAATCTTAATTACGCTTACTT